AAAAAAAAAAAAAAAATAGCTTAAAACATACACTGTATAATTCCCCCAATTTACCTCTGTATGGTGAGAAAATACAAACAGCAAATAAACCCACAAAGATATTTTTAAAATCTTAAAATTAGCTTTGACCTCATACACATGCTATGAAACTAACCGAAGTATGATATGTTCTGTGGTATGGGGCTACCTATGCTTTTGAGATGGATATTTACTGACCCCACTGGGTTTCGGGGGAATCAAATTAGACCAATTTCAAAAGACCTTTGAAGGCAATCATTGCTGTCCTTTATGCTCCCTTTAGGCATTAAGAGAATTGAGAAATAGACAATGGAGAAATTTACCACACAAAGTAAGAAAACCATGTTAAACGTTCAGTTTAACCATGTGAGGGGGGCACATGTTTATGTTTATAGTCTGGTGACTTAAATCAAGTTTTTTGACGCGTGATTTTAACAAAAACCTTCCACATCGAATATTTACTTAGTGAAATCCTATGAAAGCAAAAACTTCTTCCAGTACATTTGCCACACCTTATGACACATAGCGTATTTCCAAGCTCAAATGACAATAAATTCAACAGAAAGACGTTCGCAAATCAAAATGACCAACATTTTGTGTCCTATGCCTGGACTTGTATAGATCCTATGAGAGAAGTGACAAAATGGGCCAGGATACATGAAACATTTGGAAAACATTATCTTAACATACTTTCCCTACTTCATGAAAGTCTCCTATTATTAAGAACCATTTCACAATCTGAAAAACTAAATGAAATGTGTTACTAATACTTTGTGTATTCACAGCAGTGCCTCTACCGCTGCTTCCACACAGAATTAGCTCCGCCAGGTAAGTGTCAAACACCCTTCTTTTCACAGAAGTAGAGAAGCAAAAAAAATTAAGTGTTTGTTTATAGTTATATAACCTACTGATTAAATATAGTCAGTCTTATGATCAGTAATCCATTGCTACTTCATACTCCTAAGATCACACTTATTCTTCCGTATATATTTTAACTGTCACAAGGATTTTGAAATTAATGTAGTCATTGTCAAAAAGATGTAATCTAGAATCTTTTACAGAGTAGTCCTGAAATACATAAACATTAAGAAAATAAGTCCCTTTGAAGAAAATACTGTATTTAATTATTAAAAGTAGTAACTACAAACAGTTTCAAAACACCCAACTTCAATAAAGACTATCATGCTGGTGGGCATTTTAATTTTTTTAAAAGAGTAAATATATCCTTTCAAATATAAAAGAATAAGAAAACATCTAAAATGTCTTCGGCCTGGAACACTCCAAAACCTTATTACTTCACCAACCCCATGGTTTTGTAGGAGTTATGATAAGAACTAGAAATAAACTTTACATATGAAAAAGTTTTTGATTAAAAATAAAAGTATCAGTGGTTTTATTTTTCTTCCACTGAATTATAGTACACTGAGATGGTCACGGTTGATTCTCAGATCTTTTCATTGACGGTGTAATCATCAGAAAATTAAATACCAAACATCACATCATTTTAACAGAAGAGAAAAATTATACGAATTACCTAGGAAGACAAAAATGGATAGCTTTGCAACATGCCTCACTCTTCGGCTAACGTGATGTAAGTTTCAAGGGCTTTTATATTAAAATAAACACTATGGCACCATAATTAACCCCGCAGAGAATCTGACCGACAGTCTATGACTCCCAAATTACTTTAAAGCTGGAGCAGAATCTTTTGAAATGTCATTTCAAAGGCTAAGTTTTAGCATCTATGAAATACCAGGAAGCATCTAAGTCTGTCAAACTTTCATGAGAGTAGATGTCTCTCTGGGAAGCCTGTGAACGTCCGCACCCGTGCCTGCAGCAGAAAGGTTTTAAAATCATCTCGCTCCATCAGTCAGTCCGCTTCCAGTCAGCGATCGATCACTTGGCTATAGGCAGGCAGCTGCCACAGGACACCTGAGATCAGCCGCGAGCTGACCAGGTCCAGGGGCCGATTACTCAGTGCTCTTAGTAACTCCAGTTAACAATTTGTTTCATGAATGATTAAAAAAAAAAAAAAAAAAGCCCACATGGTTGGCATTACAACCAGGTACCTCAAAATGCAGCATTTCCCCAGAATAGCTATGGCGCCACTCAGATCATCACTTTGTCTAGCTCGGTTTTCAAATGAGAGTTAACCCCAATTAATTTTCCATTTCATCCTTAATCTGGAAAGAAGGAAAACTTTAGGGTTTTTTTCTTTTTTATGACAGATGACTGTTTTTTAACTTTTCTTTCTTGTTGAACTAACTGCCACGATTTTCCCTATCATTAGCCTCAGACCCAAGTGAATCACATTTTTATTGTAAGAGAACGTCGCAAAGTAGGAATGGAGGATTAACGAGAAGCCTGCGAGCTCTGAACAGCTCACACCACATTCCGACAGACTGCGAGGACCGGGCGCCGACTCACCTGAGGCTGGGAGTCGCTCGCAAGGAGAATCTGAAAACGCAGCCTCCTGGTCACCGGCAGAGGGAAAGGCCCCTTCTTTACTACCAGCTGCCCTTATATAAAAGCAGCACTCTGGTTACTCCCAGCGTCTGCCTCCTCCCCAGGCTCCTCCCCACCACCCGGGCATAAAGCTCCGCACGCCCACCTTCCACCTTCCACCCGCGCGGCCGGGCTCCGGCGGCGGCCGCGCCGGCCCCTGACCCCAACCCGGATCCCGACCCCAGCCCCCGCGGAGCCCCTGCGGCGGGCGCGACCTCTCCACCCCGGGGGGCGGCAGGGGCGGAGCGGCACCCCGCGCCCCACACACGCGCGGACACACGGACACACGCGAGCGCACACACGCCCGGGGACACACGGACACACGCGAGCGCACACACGGACAGGGACGCAGGCGCGCGCGCACGGACACACTCCGGCTCCGGCGGCCCCGGTGGCGCTGGCCACGGTGGCCCCGCACGGCCGGAC